ATGCTTCTTCTTGATGGGAAGAGGTTCCATAAAAATCCAAATAACCAGAAAGAGTACTGGCAAGATAGATAACCAAATGAGTAGTGGTATCAAACTAAAGCTTGTAGCAATTCACCGACCTGACTATTACACATTATTCTTTTTCCCCAGGTCTATGTGAACTAGATTTTGAGCACAGAATGTAATACCTCACCAAACATCTGCTAGGATGACTCACTTAAAAGTGTGCATGATCATCATCTCTTGCTGAGATAGCACAGTACACTTCAATATTTTTATTACTACACATATGGGGGCTTTGGTAAGATTGTGGAAAGGAGGGACAACATTTGAGCAGCTGGGAGGGACAAAATGACAGTGTGGCAGCCATTTATTCCCACTTGGATAGCAAAGTCTGGGGAACCTTTCCCTGGAAATTTAAAAGTTTGGATGTCCAAAGGGGTCCAGTTTAGGCTACTATTTCTCAAGTTGGCTAAAAATTATATCTGCTACAAGGGAGAGTGAGGGAGAGTGTTGACACTGATTTAATGAATAGAGTAGCTTTTACATAACGAACTATATAAACATTATATACTTAGTAATGTTGTCTTGTAGATGATATCTGTGTAGTCTTATTTGATTTTTAACTTTGTCTTGCTCAAAAATATGAAATTGTGCCCTGGACAACATTAAATTTTGGGGCACAGTGCTGTGATTTCTGACACAGTATATTTAAAGCAATTACTGATGGCAAAGGAATTAATTGGTATTTCAATGATGAATGTAGAGCACAGCAATCAATGTAAACCATCATACCAAAAAACATGGTGACTGGTACATTCACTTAGAACTCTTTGCACAAGAAAATCCTCAAACCACTCAAAAAGTCAAGCAGAAAAAATCTGAAAATTTTAAAATTTGCATACATAATGTTGTTGTTTTGTGAAATATTGCTTTCTACATGTGTCTTACCCTAAGAATAAAGGTAAAATGTACAGGCACCATCTTTGTCTGTAAGTGGATTGAATCTATTGGGTAAACACCAGAAAAAATAATAATATTGATACAAATAGGCAGAGGGTTTAGTATAAGTATGCTGTGGTTTAGTTTTATCCTTAGTTTATTCTTTTACTTTTAAAAGAGGCCAAATTGATAGTTACATATCATCTCACCATAACTTAGGCTAGGAGCTAAATTTTATCTTTCTTTACACAAAATGCATTTTTCATTCATATCATTAACAAAACCAAAGGAAACTGATTTTTACACCAAGGACAAAAATTAAGCACAACAGATACCTTTCATTGGCACTTCCGTTTACTTTGCTTTGCTGCTGGTTCTCATCCATGCCTGTATGAATGATATTAAGTAAGGGTGAAAGGATTGGTATTTTCTTCACAAAGATAGTTGCAGAGAGTGTCTTGATATATGGATTACCAAACACTCACGATGAACACCAACAAGACCAAGTTCTTGCTAACAAGTGTAGGAGCAATAATTGCTAATAATGGGCAATAGTCTGTATTGAATTAAGTATTCATTTGTGCATGAATTAGTATTTATTTCATTTTAATGTTTGTAACACACAATTGAAAAAGTATGTAAAATATGGTAACAAAATACATATCATTGTGGTATTCCTCATAATTTAGTTCAAGGGGCTTTATTCTAAATAGATCAAAAGAAAGAAAGTGGCATATGTCACCCACTGATTTAAATAGAAAAGCACATATTATTAAATGATGAGTAATTTTGCTGCAAATTTGTGCCCTTCTGGGTGAGCAAAGAGAATAATGACCCAACTGTTACTTGCTGCAGGGTGTTAGGAGCTAGCACCCTATCCTTTATAAGAGACCAGATCTTCATCATATGTGTAAGCAGTTTGTAAGTTAACTTTCCAGGATATGTGAAGTTTAACATCGACCATACATCCTAACGGAATTTTTGCGTAGCCCCATACATTTACAATGAATACATGTCTTCCACTGTACCCAGTGAGCATTTATTATCTGAAGAGTACCTAACTATTCTAACAATTTACTACCTTTAAGAACAAAACCAACCAGGCTCACTTATCAAACTTCTACTCTGATCACAGGCAGCCCAAGCTCAAGAAAAAGCCAACGATTAATTCATGAACGCGTCACGCGTTGTGTGACTCGGTGTTGAGTTACGGGAGGAACCGTTGAAAATTTGAATTAACAAATAGAGAAGCCTTGACTGTGCTCTGTTCTGTTATAAAGCACGCAGGAAGCGGCTAGAGCACGAAAGAAGTGTAGGGAGAAACACGAGACGTAGTCGAGTGTTTCTTCCCACTTCTTGAGTGCTCTAGCCGCTTCCTAAGTGCTTTATAACAGAACAGAGTACAGTCAAGGCTTCTCTATTTGTTTTATAATAAAGAATCCGTTAAATTACCCAAGCATTACTTTCAATTTTCAAAACAAACTTTATTTCCAAAGCGAACAACAATGTCGTCAGCATGCTCTATACTCTCATAAAGCATGCTACTATAAGCCAATCAGAATCCTTGTTAGAATGGTTCAAATAATCTGATTGGCTGTACAAGACTAAAGCTGTCAAAAGTGTCAAACCATCAAAGTTCAAAAACCATCAAAGTTCAAAAACCATCAAAGTTCACAAATCATCAAAGTTCACATTCTACGATAGTTTACAAACTAAAATAGTTCGGCAAGTCGAATTTAACACTTTTGCCTGAAGTTTTTAAGTCTCTAATAAAGAATCTCGAAGTGAAATGTTCGGTGAAATTCAACCGAATTATGGCTCATAAAAACACGCGAGTTTTTCCACATGACAAGGTAGAAAAAAGCTGTTCAAGGCGAGTGTTTTTTGAATGAAAGACAGCTGAATTCACCGGAACATGAAGATCGCTCGTGATGACAGCGCTGCAAAACTCGGCTGCAGTGACCGATGAGAATTGCCACTCAACGTATCGGAAAGGATATCAGAGCAAGCTCTTATTTTTTAACTCGAAGGGCGGCCGATGTAGTTTCTGAGGCTTGCTTTACTGTGATGACCGGAGATCGCCATGATGAGCGAGCCGCGATGAACTTAGCATGATCATATTCGCTCAGACACCGTTATGATTAGTATGAATTTTAACAATTATGCCAGTTTGGTTATATTTTTCATCATTTCTGTTTTGTCCTGTTTTGTTTTTGAATACTGAACTTTATATACTATACGAGTGTTAGCTGTGTATCAATAAAAACTTACTCGTGCCCTGTGTAACCGTCGTAGTTTCTGGTGATTTCTGCCGTTTTAAGCTTGCTTTACCATCACTGTTATCCATGTCAAAAGACGAAGTCAAGGCTGCACACTCCGATTTCGACCGTGGTCCACGCGGAGGTGGTTTGCGCCCCGAAAATCCTCCCGATCGGCATTTTTCTCAGCCACACTTTACGGTCTAAGATCACTGCACCCTGGGACATGTCTCAATACTAAAACTTCACGCGCATTTCGCTGGAAACGAGCGTTTTCTACCTGAATTTCCAAGGTAGCTTCTTTCTGGTTATGCTTTGAACACGCAGACTAGACACGGCCGCGAAAGAGACTTGGGTACGAGGTCAATTTTCTCTCTACCACGAGTGGTACGGTCGCTTAACGTACAATACTTATCCCATCCCCACAGAGACACCTTGCCTTAACCTATTGTCCTAATCAACCAATCAGACAGCGAGTCGAAACAAAAACAGCTAAACAACGGACAAAATTTGAATATTCTGCGGGTTGGCTGTGAGCATCTAAGCTTCGATTTTTTTTCGCTAAAATGCTATCGAAGAGGAAGAGATGCAATGAAATTGACGGCGAAGCGAATCAGAAGAGAGTTAAGAGTGGCAAAGTTTCAAGTTGGAAATCCTAAGATTTCATTTTGGGAACTTTAGGAATGGATTTGACATGGATAACAGTGATGGTAAAGCAAGCTTAAAACGGCAGAAATCGCCAGAAACTACGACGGATACACAGGGCACGAGTAAGTTTTTATTGATTTTACATGTAAAATATTCATATTTCGAAATATTTATCGTTGTAAATCGACCATATTTCGTTCCCCATACTATTCCTTGTTCACCCTATGCAGAACGAAAAGAGACTGGGAGCGATCAACTTGAAAACGAGGCTAGTTGGGCCTGGTAAATAAAAATGGCCACCTGATGTGAAGGGCGCCAGTTTTTGAAAATGCCGCAAAATTGTTGTGTTCCAAACTGTACCAAAAAGAATTACAGAACCGAAAACGGGGAGAAAATTTCTTACTTGAAGTTTCCAGATGACGTTATCGTCAAAAAACGTTGGCTCCTTGCCATTCGTCGAGACGAAGGAAAAACGTTTAGAGTCAACCAAAACACGAAGATCTGTTCTCGTCATTTTAAGCCCGAGGACTTGGTTAAAGCTATTGGAGGTCTGCGTGTTTATGTAAAGGCAGGGGTAATTCCATCTCGATTTTCGTAGTCCAAAGGTTCTCCGAAAAAGCGAGCACCTCCTAAATGTCGCAATCTTTCGTCTACAACAGAGTGTTCAAACAAGGAGTTGCAATCATCTCAAAGTCAAACAACTGCAGATGCAGCTGAAGCAACTTCTGAAACCTGTACTTCATCAGCAGCTTTTAGTTATCATGATGTGGAAAACAGCTTAAGTTCGTGTGAAGATCAAACAGAAGAAGTTAAAAAACTTGAAGGAATTCGAGGTTTTGAACTTGAAAAATGCGAAGTTAAAGGCTGAAATAGAGGTATTAAAACGCCAGAGGAGCTTTAAAGATTCCCGCCTTTTTCAGATAGGCAATTTTACTACCGACGAGGACATTGCCTTTTATACAGGATTTCCTAATTTAGCAACATTTAATGTTGTGTTTGAATTTTTAAATACTGGATCGAAAGGGGAAAACATTAGGTACTGTTCATCAAAAGAAAGAACTGTCCAGAAGGAGTTTTACGATAGTGGAAACGAGGAACCAGAGGGATGTACTAGCATAGGTAGACGAAGAAGCTTAGAACCCAGAGAGGAGTTCTTCCTTGTTCTTTGCAGACTACAGGCTCATAGGTTTTCCCATGTGCAGTTTGTTTGGCAGTGAATGGTTTGGGATGAAGCAGATTATTTACTAGAGTGTTATGATTCCTTTCCCTTTTTACAATTGTGTGGAAATTAGATGCTGTATACCGAAATTTCCTTTCAGCCTGCCATTCCTGTGAGGCTGCTTGTTCACTTGTTTTCTTCTCTATGGTATTAAGCTTTGCCTCATCAACAATCAAATGATCCAGGAGTGCTTCCTGGTTGCTGCTTAAATCATCTGGCTTTTCATACTGCTCAGATTGTTGCAAAGGGAATGGAGGATATACGGAAATAGCATTTTGTTCATCATTACAGTCCACTCTAGGCACTGAGTCAATATTACAGAAAACTTGAAAATTAGACTCTGTGAACTGTAACTGGTAACTTGCATATGAGCCACTTGGACATTTTCCAAATTTTGTTTCCTGTAAGTTGGTACCACCAGTAGACATAATTTGAGACAGAGCAAACTTAGGGTTGATCTCTTGAAGCTTGTTTTTTAACAAAGCTTCATCAGATGCTTGTGTACCCAAATTTTTCCTAGCGTCATACAACAAGCACCTTACTCCACTATCAGGGTTATACTCTGTGTCTATATTCGACTTTTTTACCTCAAGTTCCATGACAGGTTGGGGCTTGATTTTATCTCCTCTTACAGGCCTGTGCCATAGTTGTAAACTTGAAGTGCATGCCTTAGCTTGTGTCATATCAGATTCATTTTCCAAGTCCTTAATATCTTGACAACAATACAAGCTGAACTTACAGAGTTTCATCATAACAGCAAGCACATGATTGCAAAAACCAACAGATCCTGCTACACATGTTCACGAAGCATATTTAACAACTCCACTCACTAAACAAAGTGCAACTTGTAATTTGTGGGGTGGCTCATTTTTTTTAAAGCTATGGTAACACAAGCATTTGAAATAGAAATATTGGTCATCACTTGCGCAAGTTAAGTCTTTCAGGTATTCATCATCAAGAAATGTTTTTGCCTTTTTCATGCTTGTTGGAACAGCATGGTTCTGTTTATTTCTGTCAAAGTTTTTTCCAGATTTAGAAATATGTAAATCCATCTCTGCCCTTGTGAATAATGGCATTCGTTGCAAACTTGTAGACCATCCAGTACTTTCCTCAGGCATCGCATCACTTTGAGCGAGTTGTTCTTGTCTCGCCTTTCGACGCGTGTATATCAGATTTTTATCGGGATCCACAACATCTTTATCACGACCAGACGCAACATATTCAAGAACTCTTCAAGATGAAAAGTAGAAAAACTATTAATCATTACATTTTTGAAACATTTCATAGAGAAAAATAACTCCTAAATCTTTTGATCTCCATTTACAATATCAAAGTCTCTTTTAATTCTAAAAAGTATCACGAACGACTGACAAATACTGTACTTACCTTTTCGACAATTGTGCCTTTGTTTTTAACCCCTTTGCTGGATCGCCACGACATTTTAACCAAAAGCGAAGTTCATCTGTTTTAAGAGCAGTCGGGTTTCTTCCCTGAAGCGATGCTCCGGGGACATCTTCCTCCGTAAGACTCTGAGAAAGACGGCTACTTACAGAGCCATGAGCGGCCATATTTCTAACACGAGTAAACAAGGCCCAACTAGCCTCGTTTTCAAGTTGATCGCTCCCAGTCTCTTTTCGTTCTGCATAGGGTGATGTGAATAACGTGTTCAAATTTTCAACGGTTCCTCCCGTAACTCAACACCAAGTCACACAACGCTTGAAGCGTTCATGAATTTATCGTTGGCTTTTTCTCGAGACGTGAGCTTGGGCCGCCTGTGATTATACTAGCTCCAACAGAAAAGTAAGGAAAGCCATGAGGCAATGTCAAATTCTTGTCTTCCTAGGCTTTCCAACGTATGGAAGAAAATTTCCCAAATACCTCGCACTTAAAATCGCTACCAGAATCTTACTCTTTCACCAATCCGAAGCGTCTCAAAAGGTGACAAGGATAGCCCATGAAATTCTCAAACTTCGAGCGCGGAAATCTTAACGATCTTTTTACACTTTTGCTTTGCATCCCTCCCCTAGTTGGGAAGTGACACGCAGAAGACACGATCACAACGCACTTTGATTGGAAGAAGTAAAACCGCATTCTATTGGTTATAATGTGTGAGGACATAACTAAAACGTAAGACACAACTGCAACGCTACACAAGGTTAGGCTGACGTTGCAACAGACTGACTTAACCCAAGGTTAAGACCAGGCCTGGTTTAAGACTTAACCTCTTTTGAACAACCGGGCCCAGGTCCCTTTTAATTCGGAAATCCCATGATGCAGAGGTGCACTCAGTTAAATCACGTGGTTGCTCACAATTCGGTCGCCATTTTGTATTCGGAAATTGGTGTGGTTTAACACGTACAGAAATCCAAAATTTTTAAGGACTCCAAGGTAGGTCTGAACAGTAATTGTTCCTGTAGGTTGGTTGGAAAGGAAGGCGTTGCCGAGGGCTGTGACTTAGAGACGGCAAGATCTTCCATAAACTGAACAGTTTTTGAGCGAGTAAATGGTATTTAAGCTAGAGGTGATGCAAATTCAAGTAACGATAAAGGTGATTTAAAAGGCTTCCAAACAAACTTTGAATCATTTTTTTAAGTAAACAGCGAGGAAAGTAATTGTGAGTAAATTCAATTTTTTTATTTTGAAGTTGTGAGAGTTTGCTGGTTTGTTTGCTGCAATGGCGTTTGTAAATCTGGTCTTTCGTTCACAAAAACTAAATTCGAATGGCACACTCCAACGAGACACAAGGGGATTTAATGCGGCCTCACGATACAAATGTTCAAATTGAACGGACTTGGAAAAACTCACCAAAAGCGTATATTTGTTGTAGAACTTAAATTAAAACTTCACTCACTCTTTCACTGCGAACAAATTGCTTGAGAAAATTCAGTTATTAAATGAATGAAAGTTCCATCGTTCAGTTTAATTGCAACCAAATACCTCACGTTTTAACTTTCTAGGTACTTTTTGTGAATGATTAAAATTAATTGCAGAGGGGTTTTAGGCCGCTTGTCAACCAAGGTAATGACACTATTGTTTATACAAATTCATTCTGAAACCAATATTTTTCTGTCAACCAAAGTGACTTGAGTGAGAGAAAAGAGAGGATTCATAAGTTATTCATCGGCTTGAGGTAGTGACCGACATGTTTTCTTAAAAATACTGCCCAGCCGGAAAATGAGATATATTTATGACAAATGGCAACGAAAGTTGGGATGTACTTGGCGACTCATGAAAGCGTTACTGTGGCCCATGGGCAGAGATAGGAAAATACTGACTGGGTAAAGAACCAATCAGATTACAAGATTCGTTACCGTGCCCTCTCAAAAAAAAAACATATATTAGATTTCTTGGCACAAATTTGATGTGATTTGTATTAGTTTTTTATTTCGAAATTGGTCAACGTTTGAATTTTGGGAACTTGTCTATTGTTTGTTCAGAGAGAGGTTTTTTGCCTGTTTATTTGCTAGTAGACAGAGTAAAGTATTAAATTATCAAGTGAGTTTTCTCAGTGGATCTGTTTGGCCTGAACAACAACCTCTTCCTAGTATGTGGTCAAATATCTCTTAGTCAGAAAAGTTTGATCTCCATGGACATTTAAGGGGAGAATTGGTTAAGGGTGTTTTATTAAAAGTATTAAGTGGAGCTGAATTGATTGATTGTTTTTCACTTGCAATTTGGGAAAACTCTCCAGTATCACTACAACTCTGACAGGATTAATGAAGGAACTGAGAGCTTAAGGAGGGTCATTATCAAACCCTACATTGATTGGTTTGAACTGTGGGTCATAAAGGGAACACATATGTCTACACTATACAAACATGTCAGGGATGTCCAAGCCTTTGGAGAGGTTGTTAGTTTGTTTGTATGAAATGATGTGAAGCAATTTATCAGGGATGTAGATAATAGCAGGAAGCTGGTAAAATTACCCGGCTGTGAACGTGATTTTTCCGACTGTGAAGCATTCTCCAAAATGTTTTTAAATGTTGTCAGAAGATTGTTATTTATTTATTTCATTTGTTTACACCTCCAAATCTAGGTATAGCGTGCCAAAGGCACGCTAGAGTGGGCCTTCGGCCCAAATACCTGTCTATCATTGCAAGATTCCCGCCTGTTAAAAACTTTAGCTACATCCCTGTTCATTCCTTATGACAAAATTGCAGTAATAAATAAAATGGTAATGTAAGATGTAAAAGCCAGCAGCTCTAGGTTTCTGTATACACAAGCTTCTGCACTGTTCATAAAACTCCTTTAGAAACTGATATGTGGCACAAGCTTTGACACCAAAAGTAGGCAGCAACACAATAAGTTTTGCTTTTGCAGCTGGAAGGCTTGTCTGCAATGCAACCCATATGATATATACTTCATTGCTCTTTAACTATAAGACAGAATGTAACTCTTTATATATTGTTATATACACTTTAGATCATTGTACTACTACCAGCTATTATTGTGGATCTTTTTAGTTAGACTTAAACATCATTTTTGGTTAGTTAGACATCAGTCATGGTTATTTTCATTTTTGGCCATCTTAGACATTAGTCAAAGTTACTTAAGGTTTTTTTTTTTTTTACCTTTTTTTTTTTTTTTTTAGGTCATTGAGCACATCACTCAAGGTCATTTTAGGTAATTCCTCATTTTAGTAACTATGATTTCACAAAGCAAGAGTAATTATTATGCTTATGTTGTTTTTGTTACTTGTTCTTTTGTTTGTTTTTTGTTTGTCTATTTCCTCCTCTACCTTTGTCTATAACTTGAATTGCATTATCTTTATGAAATTAGACTTGTGGGTACTCAAGATTTAAAAATTAGGGAATGCAAATACTTAAAGTTAAAGATCACAAGCGCTTTATTGAGGACCAAAAGACTTTTTCAAGTGTTCTATTTTGTGCATATCTAATCAGTCAGCTTTTTGGGGGGGTTTATAAGAATAAATCCATAATTGTCTGCTGCTTTTGCACTCTGGATAGTTTTAAGTATGATTCAAAATTTTTGTTGTTTAAAGTATTTCTAAATTGTTGCTTGATTTCTTGATTCCTAGTCCTGGCCAGGGCAAAGTGTTGTGCCCTTGAGACGTGTGGGAAAAAAAATGTGAGCTCTGCTTTAAGGCTTGGCTTAATCTATATATTATTGGTTTTGTGTGATATTAGGGTTTGTAGATGTAGCACTTTTGATTTCCTGAATGTTTTAATGATTTTGGTTGAATTGAGTTGTATTTTCAGCTGCTTTTATCTCGGTCTTCATTGCATAAACAGATTAGTTATTGCTGCAACTTAGATGCTACTTGACTGAATTAAATATTGTAAAGAGTCAGTGATAAAAATAAAATATTACACAACCATTTTAAATTCTTTGAAAAGAGATGTTGTCAGTTAGCCTAAACTCTTTCCATTTTCACTGTGACTGGTTAACTAGTTAAATTTTACTTACAGTGATTGGTTAAAATGGCAGGGAAAAATTTCTTTCATGTGCTTACATGTACATCTGTTGGTTTAAATGTAACTACTATCATACATGTAGTCCTTGCAACCAAATGAACATGCTGTGATTGACATCTGCTCAATTGAGAGATTGAGATATTTTAGCGCAAAAAAACAGATACCAAATACATTTTGTACATTTCTGCCACAGAACCTAGACATCTGATGTCAACCAGATGTGGACCATATGAGCAACCTGGAGGCAGGGGAAGAAAACAGGTTTATGGAGATCAAAGGAAAAGAAGGTAATGCTGATAATGCCAATAACCTCAAATGTTGTAGTTTTTATTTATTGTAGTGTAAGAGGTAACCGGTCATTTCGCACAAAAGACTTTTCGCACAAGTCTTTTAGCACAAGTTTTGGACTGTTCGCACAATTCTTAATGGTCATTTCACACAATAATCATAAGTGAGAAACATCAATATAAAAGGTATACTAATTGATACTGGTAAGACATTTCACCTTCACATGATCCAACGGCGAGAATGTAGACATTTATATATGTAATAACTTCAACTAGATCAAAATGCTCTTGAACACGATCACTGTTCTTTCTTGAAGAAAGGAAAGGTACAAATCTCTCTCTCCATGAAAATTTTAGTTTTGACAGTATCATCCACTACAAAGTTAACATGCAAACATGACAACCCACGCTAAGGACACTATGTTGATTTCGAAAGTAATTGTCACCAGTCTTCCCTCCTTGTTTGATTGCCTTCAAATAGCATGTTTTATCGATGTGTAAGAGTTTCAAATAAAGCTATTGAAAACTTGCTTCTTATAACTTCATTATACAGGGCGTGAAATTGCACCTAATACAGGCGCCAATGCGACTTAATTTTTCACTTTGGTGACCAAATCCTGAAAGTTAGTCGCCAAATTGGCGACTAGAACGTTTCATCATAACCTTACCAAGAGATATAGTGAATTAAAAAGATTTGCAAAGATAAATCCGTGGCAAACTTCCTCGTTAAGTTTGTTTCCAAAACGTAGCACATGCATCTCGATCGATAACTAGATGCCATCTTGGATGTAGATGAGCCTGAACATTGTATATCATCCATCTTAGTGTCCACTTTGTAGCACATTAAAGATCTTTTCCCTATCTTAATTTTGGAGGGTCTATCTAGAACGCTGACAGCATAAAGAAAGATTTTTTTTGTCTTTGAAAATGGCGACCAACTTTTTTTGAATTGGCTACCACTTTGAAGAATTAAGGTGCCAAGTGGCTATCAGAGAAAAAAGTTAATTTCATGCCCTGTTATATAATGAAAATTAGGCATACTGGTAATACGTACAGCAAAAACAGTTCAATGTTAATAACTTGATATTCAGAGATTGATTCACATTGAATGTCGGCACGTGCAAGTGTTGTGATTTGACAACTTGAACATGTCAGTGTAGCAGGTAACTAGTGATCTTATAGAAAGACAAGTTCGATCTGTAATCATTTTAAAGATTGAGAAGTTTAATACATCTATCAAGTAGTAACCTTTCAAATTATTCTAATAACAATTACCTAAGCAATGGAGAGTTCAGTATCGATCGATAAGCGTCATAGCAACCATGATGTAAACAAATGATTTCACGAAAGTTTCAAGAATTCATAAAAGCTTAAGATCAAAACAAACAAAGAAATTTAGATGTACTATAGCTTAAATGAATGCAGGAAAGGGCTAAATTTCTACGAGTCTTGACCGAGTAGCGAGTTAAAATTTGCATGATTCGTCGGGTAACATGGCCATGAACTTGAATTTTATATATTTACACAGAAATTTTGTAAATTGGTCTTTTCTCCTTTTAAATAAAAAGTGAAACAGTGTGCAGGTTTTTACTTTGATTTCAGAGGAGGGAGGATTGGTGACAATTACTTTCGAAATCAACATGGCGTCCTTAGCGTTGGGTCGTCATGTTCGTTTGTTTGTAGTGGATGATGTACTGTCAAAACTAAAAGGTTTTTCGTTTAACAAAGGAAAAGTAAAAGAAGTAATCATTCGAATAGGGAGTTCTTTACATTTTCATGGAGAGAAAGATTTGTTCCTTTCTTCAAGTAAGAATAGTGATCGTGTTCACAAGCGTTTCGATCTGGTTGAAGTTATTACTTAAATAAATGTCTACATTCTCGCCGTTGGATCTTATTGAAAGTGACATGTGAAGGTGAGATGTCTTATCAGTATCAATTAGTATACCTTTTATATTGATGTTTCTCACTTATAATTGTTGTGCGAAATGACCACTAAGAATTGTGCGAACGTTCCAAAACTTGTGCTAAAAGACTTGTGCGAAAAGTCTTTTGTGCGAAATGTCCTGTATTCGTGTAAGATAGTCATAGCTCCATATAAAACAATGCCAGTCAAAGGTCTCGTGCACCAAATCAAGAAGTATGGCCTCAGGGATTCCATGAAGACTCCAGTAATTCTTCCCACTTTTCTGTGTAGTGCAAGCTATTTAACTGGTGTTTCTCTCCACTTTCCCTTTTGAAGTGCCATTTCTCTCCTATTCCGCCTCTCCCTCTTTATGATTATTTGTTTGCATTTCCACAAAAACATTTAACAATTGATGTTTTAGACAAATTCTAATCACTACTCGCAGTATTTTTCTCTTATTTTGAAGGAATTGCAGGAGTGACCAAAAAAAGAGGAATTTCTCCTTGCAATCTTGATATATTTTAAGGCAGAAAAGTTAAGAGACGTTAGAAAAATTCGAACTTGAGGACACTAATTTATTTTAGACCAACTTCTCAGATATTAAGTTTTAAGAAATGTACAGTGAACAGTGTGGAGAATTTATAAGTAGATATTGAGAATTAAAGGTTAAAAGAAGTTCCTTAACACACAGGTACAGGGTGAGAGGTAAATTCAACCAATCTAGAGGTGGACATAATGGCAGAGGATCGTTTGGCAGAGTTGGATTTGGTTGTGGAAGGGGTGGTGGAGAAGCTGGTAACATAGGAATGATGTCACACACTGGTCACGTTGTTCACATGCGAGGACTGCCACATGATGCCACGGAGAGTGATGTTAAACAATTCTTCGCTCCCCTTGTCCCTGTCTCTATGTGGATGGAGTATGGTAATGGGTCTTTAAATGGACATTGGGATGTGTACTTTGCAACACATGCGACTGCACAAGAAGCTATGCGAAAAAATGGATCACTAATGGGTAGGAAGATTCATCTTCTCCTAATTATCAAAGTAATCTCTATGAAAATGTTTATTTTTGTCTTCTAATTGTTGGCTGAACTGTGTTGTGACAAAATTGTGATACCAAGGTTTCAAAATAAAATCATGTTTACTGTATTTACCCATGTATAATATGCACCCATGACCGAATTTTTTATATAAAAAAGTTTTCACAGCAAAAAACATGTTAATTCTTCCTACAATATTTGTGGAGATAACAATACTTACATTACAAAAACTTTAAAATTACTTATGTACTGGTAACTAACTAATTACAAAAAGGTTGAAAATGATAACAAACAGCCTTGCAAAAAAAGAGTTTCTACATGATAATTTAACTCAAGCTAATAAAGGCCAATTGCTACTACGCTTTTGTTACTTTTTTTGTTGTGTTTTTCAATATATGCAAATTAGGACGTTCTTGACAAACAATAGAATCTGTGTATAATACGCACCATGATTTTGATGGTTATTTTTACAGAAAAAAAGTGTGTATTATACACAGGTAAATATGGTATACTTTTTCACTTTTTGGTGAGCATAAATGTTCACAAGTGACCGTTTAAGGTCAACATTAGAATATGGAAATAAGTGCTTAATAGACATTCAAGAAAATGGAAATGATTTTGATTCTCATAATTCACAATTATGCCTTGTTTTTAGGGCATTTTCGCATAGAACTGTTTCTGCAATCAAATCCAGAGAGTGGAAACAACCAGGGGTGGGGTGGCTCTGGAGGAGAACATAACTTTCATGGTGGACGTGGTGGTTAGTAAAGTTGTTTGGGTTGCATACATGCTTAAATCCTTATAATTTTTACATCAATAAGTATAGCCTCCTTACTGTTCTCTATACACCTCTCATTTTACAGGCAATCCTTCCTATATTCTCAAAGCTTTTTTCGTATTTGTCCGTGATACCTTAAGGATAAAATAATTTTTAGCCACTTCTGGGGGTTAAAGAGTAAATGTATGTATATGCTAGAGCAGCAATAGATGTCCCAAGTCATTTCTTGTAGAATACAAGGATAGAATACTAGACCAATATCCAGAAATGGATTTCAAACAAGTCTACACTCAGGTGGTGGGAACAACCAGTCTGGATCATCCTATTACTATAAAGGGGTTTAGATATGATTTATTAAACTGTATGTTCAAGCTAATTCTCCTATCTTGTCATCAGGTGATAACTTCAGAGAAAGAAATTTTGTTGGTGGTGAAGGAAACTTCAATAATGGGAGGAACTTAAACTTTGGTGGTGGAACTAACAATCAAGCTAATATGGGAGGATTTGGTGGCCAAGGAAACCAGAACACTGGTTTCAACAATCAGCCGTTGCAACAGGAAGGGTCCTTTAATACTCAGATGCAAGGCGGTGGGCACCAGGCCAAATTCTTTTGTTGGTATTTTTATCCTTAGGGTTTTTGTATCAGCACTATACTAGTTGTGCCAGTAATATGTAAGTATTTTTTTAGAAGAAATTAGAATGTATATCAGGCAGTGGTTATAGTCGGGGTTCAAAATAACGGCCTGCTGTCAGCTGTCAGCAGCAGCGGAAACTTTTAGCACACTTGCCAATCATTTTTCACCAAAAAAGTAGAATTAATAGAAAGTATTATGCTTATTCAGGGTGCCAATACAACTAAATGTTTCATTGATGACCAACTTTTTTTTAATTGACTACTGCTTTGAAGAATTTAGAAGCCAAGTGGCTATCTGAGAAATTCTGTCTAGGTCACTCATGGGAGTTAAAGAGTTTATCTTTATATGTATTTGTTTATATTTATTTTATATTTATCAGAAGAAATGTATCACATAGTTATTGTAGTTATTAGTTTATTTATTTTCAAAATAACAGCCGGCTGCTGGCAGCAGCCATAACTTTTAGCACACTTGCCAGTAATTTCTCACCAAAGAACTAGAATTTGGTAGAAAATATTATGCTTATTGATCATTTTTTTTTTGTATTTTATTTGTTTTTGGGTTTTTACAGTTTTTACAAGTATGCAAGATACATCACAAATTTCTACATGCATAAATTTACATTACCACTACACTGGACTACGAGAATAAAAGAAAAGAAGAGTTACTTTTGACATTTTAAATACACTAGGCACAATGCCAGTAGAGAGTAACTTATTAAAATAAATGCAAAGGGTTTGGAGAGGTTCTTAGAACCTTAATTTTACTAATTTCTTTGGAATATCCAATAATTATTACTTATTGTTTAAGCAAGAGAAAAAGTCAGCAACACACTATTCTGTCATAGGAGATGGGAAAAAATTATGTAAAGGAGAATGATTATTAATTCCACATTGGTCTCCAGCAGTATTATGAATAGCTTTTTCCAAATTTGAGCAGGCATTAATAAAATGCTGATTGAAGTGCACTGCAATATCTAATATATTTAGGAACTGCTATTTCTTTAATTCTAACAGGACAATTTTGGCTTCTAGGTATTTTTAAGATCATTTTGGTACAATTTATTTGAAGGGCTGACAGTAATAGTCATTCTTAGCCTTAGTTTTGATTCTGTTTAGTGTGGTAGTATTAAGCTTATATTTTTTTGCCTTATCAGGATCTCCATTAAGGAAGTGTGTTTTTTTTTAACTTTTGCTTATGCTTAACTAACAATAAACCTTTATGAATGAAAGTGATCTTCGCAGTGATGTGCACTACTTAGGCAGTAGTGAAAATAAGGCCTGAAAAAAAAAAAAAAAATTCAGGCCTGTACGGGATTCATTCATGTCTTTATCCGCAGTTCAAATATATGACCTTCATATATTCTTAACCGTCAATAAACCTTTAGTAAACCATGGTTTGGCCAATTGTCTCCTTTTACTTTGAGATGCTTTTTGTTATAGGTGCATGCTTGTCTGTAGTTTGCTTGAGTATACTTAAACAATTAGCTGCTTCCTCGTGAATATCATTAGATTCATTACATACATTGATCAAAGTTGCTATTATCACAAAAATAGAATGCTCTCTTATACCTTTATATTTGTCGATCATGCATACAAAACACTGGTGGATAGTCTGAGACATGAACCAGCGCAATGCCGGCATCCACACTCAAATTAGAATTTATGTAAATGTGGTCAATCAGAGCACAGGCGGCCCAAGCTCACGTCTCGAGAAAAAGCCAACGATTAATTCATGAAACGTCATGCGTTGTGTGACTCGGTGTTAAGTTACGAGAGGAACCGCTGAAAATTTGAACACGTTATAAGGAATAGTATGGGGAATGAAATATGGTCGATTTACAACGATAAATATTTCGAAATATGAATATTTTACTCGTAAAATCAATAACACATACTCACATCCTGTGTGTCCGTCGTAGTTTCTGGCGATTTCTTCCGTTTTAGGCTTGCTTTACCATCGTTGTTATGGATGTCCGGAAAGCTAAGACCTAAGACCCTTTTTTAAGGGGAAATCATCAAATTTCAGCGTCCTTTACCTTTAAGTGGTAAAATGAATAAAATAAATGCACTCGCACTTAAAAAAGACGGGCGGGGCGTGAGAAAAAATTTTAAAAAAGCGCGGCGAGAAGGGGCTACGGTGTGGCAAACGAAACTATTTCCGGTTGTCGCAGTGTGGCGTTACCTTATGAGCTAAAGTTTGCGAGAAAACGAATGAAGCGAAGCAGTGCTTTGTCTACTATACAAAACGGTATTTTTCGAAATGGTGCTTTGCGTTTTTCGTTTTGTTAGCTCCATGTTATCACTAGAACGTATTACTTTGAATCTACTTACTAACAAATATTCTTTCATATTGTCCTGATAACTTCCCCAATTTCCGGTCTGATTTCGTCGGCAGAAGCACGTGTTGCCTTGATGCCAATGCTTTACTTTTTTATGGTTAGGTATTTAAAGGGCACCAGCTTCCATTTTTTTAAGGTTTTTTTTTCTTTTGTTGTATGCTCACTCCCTCCACAGCTTTGGCGAATTGTGACCCAGTTATAGTTACTCAAAGTTTCCGTCAGTAAACAATACGAAACTGGTAGAAATATATTATTCATGATAATTTGTTGGCCATTTGGACACAACTGCCTTTGCAATGTTATGCGCAAAATCATAAATAAAAATTGAAAAAGATCATTCGACGACTTATCTGTCGCCCCTTTATGGCATCTGTTGGGAATCGAATGGCAGCAGGGCCATCAAATAAGTGGTATTCTTTGCCGGTGGAAATTATTGGTTTTATTCATCAGCCGGCCCTAAATGTAAGTCTGGAGATGTGTCAAAAGTTATATAACCCAGAAGCACTCGAGATAATAGGTGTCGAAATAATTATTTCACCAAAAAAGTTATTTGACGTCTGAAGTTCCGTCACGGCCGCTTTCTATCGCGCGTAACGCTTTCGAGAATATATCGAGAATCGCTGGCCAGGCTAAAAAAATCCCAAATTCCGATAATTTGCCTGAAAAACCGTTTTAGGGAGATATATTCAGCAATTTCAAGCCTTCAAAACGCGTCTTGGTATGTGAGAAATCATGTCAAACTACGTGCTGGCACAAAGTTTGGACCTTATACGAAAATAGTATGAAATAAAAAATTTGGGTAATTCAGAAAAGTGCCGGCAAAATAAAAGAGTTTGCGACGCCCAATGGCCAAGGTCCAGAATTTGCATGATTCAAATCAGTTGTCGTACTTGAGAGCTACGAAGTAAACAAGATAGTTAAAGATGGTTAAAAACTCTTTGATACGGAAATAATATGACATTATAGAATAAAAAATCCGCAGACATTGCTGAAGAGGGCTGTGAATTGATGTGTAGATACGAAATTTTCTGTTAATTTGAATTGCAGAATACTCTGTTATTGTTGACTCGCTATTTCAACAGCATTACCTACACCTAACTATAGATAAGGGCCGCTGTATACTTCACCATTTTTGTTGACTAGTTGTTTATTATCGACATCATTCTTAGTTGAATAGTTACGTTTTCTGCAACTGCGATAATATTTCTTTTGAAATATCTTGGATATCTTAATTACTGGGGGGCTTGTGGTGCAAGTTCTGAAAATCCAAACATGGCTGACTTTGTCGAATTGAAAGACTGTACTAAGGATCAAGTGTTTCCATGTCCAAAAGAGGACTGCACTCATAGTTTTCAACGGCACCCTTCTCTAGAAGAGCATCTCGCGTTCGGAACATGCACAAAGGCGGTTGAAAGGGAGACACTTCTTGGTAAAGCGAAGGTTAAATATGCTGCAAGGCTCGAGAAAGGTTCAAGTTCCGTGCCAACTATTCCTCTACCTCCTGAAACCTGTCCTCGTAGCACTGGATATTTAACACCGCCTGAAGGCTTCGCTTTAAAACAAGTAAAGAAAGTTTACCGGTTTAGCGAAAAGCAAAGAGAGTACCTGACTGCTAGATTTACCATCGGACAAGAAAGCGGCAAGAAGGTCGAAGCGGAAATTGTTCCAACAGAAATGAGAAGAGCAAAGGGATTGAACGGGGAGCGCTTGTTCAGTGTCTGAGTTTTTGACAACTTAAAAAGTAGCTTCATTTTTTTCAGAATGGCAGCAAAAGTGAAACAGCAGACAACCCCCTGCGCACAAGCTGTAACTGAGCAAGATCTGTTTGCTATGGAGGGAGAATTCAATTTTTCAAATGCTAAGGAGTCTATTTTTGAGCAGTTAAATGTAACTCATCCTGTTCATTACCAACAGTACAACTGTTCCATAGTCGAGAATAACACACTCAAAAATCTCAAACTTGCAATCTTAAAACTCCTTTGCGAGAGTTTCAATCTTGCAATACCACCTGTGGTTGATCAGAGAAAAAAGACATCTTACATCGCTTTGCTCGAAGACTTTGTTAGATGCTGATCTTGCAGTGCAGTTTAAAAGGCAAATGGCAAAAGGCTGCTTCAAAAAATTGAGTTTTATATGAACGTTGATATAAAACGGGGGCCGTGGAGCGTATTTTGGATCGGAGGAGCTATTGCAGTTCCCACGTAGTGTGAGCTCATTGGCACCAACTTATCTATGAAGGTCCTGGGGCCTCCCCTCCGAGGAGGGCCTCCTTGTGTCTGTTTCTTAGTACGCCTTTCTTAGTACAGAAAGACTGCTGACAGGGTGTCCTGGGGTATGCTCCCCCGGCAAATTTTGAAATTTAGAGCTTCTGAAATGACCGGAAACGCGTTTCAATCCTAAGAAAAATTTGTCAAATTTTTTAAAATAAAGATTGAAATAAATAATAATGATAATAATAAATTGTTCTTGGTGGGGCTACAGCCCACTCAACCCCATAGCTCCGCGGTCCCCGTATTAAGACGCAAACCGGAAATGAAAAAGTCCCCTTCGAACCGCACTTGGCAGTCAAACAGGATCAGGCCGGCTGGATGTTGTTTGATATAGACTCATAAATGAATTTATACAAGTAATATAAAACGAGATATATAGGACTGGATGCTTTAGAATGGAGTTTTGACGAAAAAAGGATCGTGTCCGCTTTACTCGGCAACTTCACCTTTATCCAACGTGACAATTGTCACGCAATTGAAACATTTTGCTTTTCGTCAAGACAGTTACGAGAAATGAAACAAAAAACTCCTTGGCTAAAAAAATTAATTAAACACTATTAAATACTGGTCATTATTCTTGTAAATTTTATGTTGTAGCCGTCAAAAGAGCCTTTCCTATGCCAGAACCGTTAGGCGGTACGATTTCTACAACTGATTTGCATCATGCAAATTCGTGACCTCTGGCCACAGTGCGTCGCAAACCTTTATGTTTTGCCGGCACGTTTCTAAATTACCCAGATTTTTTATTTCATATTGTGTTAGTATAAGGACTAAACTTTGTGCCAGCATGTAGTTTGACATGATGTCACACACACCAAGACACGTTTTGAAGGCTTGAAGTTGCTCGATTTTTCGCTTTTTGCAACAAGCGGTTGACAGCACTTTGTTAAAAAATCATGTGAATTTTAAAATTAAATCAAAGCTCCTTAAAATGCCACAAATAAAAATCAAATAAATTATACTTTGAAGTAAAAACACCCCCGATTTCTTACCAAACATCCTCCTTCAGTACTAGCACGCTAAAATTGGTCAATTTTACTGTATTTGTTTGCATAATTAATTAGGTAAAAACCCGAATTTTCGTTTTTCCCCATTTCCTCGGACACATTTGATTTTTCAAACTTTGAAATAATTTTTTTGAATATATCTCCCTAAAAGGGTTTTCCAGGAAAATTATCAGAATTCTGAATTTTTTTAGCCTGGCCAGTGATTCTCGATATTTACAGTCACGGCCTCTCAGTTATGAAGCTGTCCGCGTAAGAACAGATAAGGCAAATTTCGGCCGATCGCCGATTTCCCTAAGTTTTTCAGTGAAAGTCGAAAATTCTATCCCATATACAAATATCACATTTATTTTGATCATTTTCATTCTTTTTATTTTTTATGAGACAGTTTTAAAGGACACCCCAAAACTGCCCAATTTGCCTTCTGTGACCCCTATTATCAAGCTATAAATATCGAGCGCTACCAAATCCTTATTTCCCAATCTAGAAAGCTGATTATTTTACATATTTAAGAATGAATTTATTTCAATACTTTAAAGGTAAAATGATTGCATTCTATAAAATTTTTACCGAGTTATGAAACTTTTAAAATACCTTATCGTCAGCATTGAAATTTGTGA